TGTCCTGGCCGGGATCCTGGCCCTCTTCCTCCCCGAGACGCGCGGCCTAACGCTACCAGAGACCAGGGCGGAGGGAGAAAACTTTGGAAAGTAAGAGAAACACAGTTTTCAAATCTTTAATAGGAGCGGCTATGAAAATTAAAGTTGCTCACCATAGTTGCTTCTAAGCCTCGTTCAGAACGAAGCGGTAATTAGCGGCATTTTTTTAATGATGACTTAGTATAGTCCTGAATGTTTTTGATAAATCAGGATTAATGACGAGAAGACGGGACGATGCGACACGAGAAGACGAGAAAAGGAGTCTAGAAGAAAAGAACACGAGACGATATCCATTGATATCCTTGATCTCGTCTAATCGACTTCACCATGCAGGACGAGAAAACAAGATCCTGGATCTCGTCAAGTCGACTTCATTTGGCTAAAAAGATGAGTAGATGAGATTTAGTATCTAGTCAAGTCGACCTGATTTGGACGAGAAGACAAGATCCAGCATTTCATCTTCTCGTCTCCTCATTCTCATCAGGTCGACTTGACGAGATTCTTATCTACTCATCTTGTTGTCCTAATCAAGTAGAAAAGATCTAGGATCTTTGCCATCGTATTCTCGTCCTCATCAAGTCTTCTAGGCGCGATCCAGTGTCTCGTCTTCTCGTATTCCGTCGTCCAAACCGAGCCGAATTGACGATATCTAGGGAGTTTGTCTTGTCTTTTTGTCTCGACATCTTCTCGTCTTCTGGACTTTTTGCTCGTCTTCTCGTCCCGTACATACATCATAAATTAGAAGAAAACACTATTTAGATCCATGTCAATGCAGACATGCAATGTTTGTGGCCAAAACCATTATCAAAAGATTATTAACGGTAATTATACTGCGATCAAAAATATATCTTATTATCACGTGTTTATAATTCAAATCTCATCGTAATTTCTCCAATCTCTCATCTCATTTTTTCTTCACAGGAAAATGGCTGCCGATGACGTTGCTAATATTGACAAGAAGGAAATGGTCTCCTTATTGTGAGCAAGGGAGTCGAACTAGAAGAGATAAACACCACACAAGAAAAGAGTGACACTGCAGACTACGTCAACCATCCTACGTAATATAATGTAACCCTGTGATTTTCATTGACTCGCTCGCGACTCACCCGGGTAGGATTTAAGTGATCCGTTTTTCTTCTTCAAATTGACAACATTGTTAACGGATATACATTGACAGAAACTTGAAACGATAACAACGGCCGCCGATTAAATTTCAGCATGTTGCCTATTTAACGATCTAAATCCTCATTTAACTCGGTCCTTTCCAAAATCTCTATGCCTGGTTGGCACTGGCCGCTATGAAAAAAAAATCGTAAAAATAAGTGTTTATGGTAACGTAATAAAATGGGAAAGTCACCAAGTGCAGACATTAGTTTTGTGCAGATTGTTTCGGCTCAAAATTCAAACTACATTGAGCCTTTAGCACAGAATATATGCAATTATCATAAATGGCAAAATAAAGCGCACCAATGAAAATACTTTTCTAAACATGCTAACGACAAAAACTGACAAAATGTTGTTTTCTTGAGATTATTGACATCTTAACCATTCCTCTTAAATATGATAATAACAATAATGATGATATTATGATGTAATTTCCGTACATTTTCTGCTCATGTCCCTTTTGCAGCCAACCTCAAATGCTGTAGAAATTTGCAGGAATTATGAATATGTCATGTATGTCCTATCTGTGAAATTTAAACGTTAGCAGTGTCCTCATATTCAAATTATGCAAGGAAACCCGTTTACTTGCTAGACTTCACTGTCAGACACTATTGAGTGACTGGCTGGCTTTTTTTCTTCTTTGGTAATAACATACATGAAAAGAGTTGTAAAGGGTACTCTCTTAAAAAAAAAAGAGTGAATTTTCAAAATCACGGACGTCACTCCTCTGGAGAGTGAAAATGGAGTGAAAATAGAGTGAACATTCACTCTTTTTTCTTAGAAAGCACTCTAAAATCAATCGATTTTCACTCCTAAACAAGTGATCACGGACGTCACTCCCAAGAAAGTGAAAATAGAGTGAAAATTCACTCTCTTTTTTAAGAGAGTACATGAGCATTTGTCTACATCAATAACCCACTTCTTGTGATGGCCAAGATTAAACTGATTGAATCTTTGCGCAGCATAAAACGTATGACCATTCGGTACAATTGTCTGAAAATCAAGACTATTACTTTTGGGTTCTGGAGCCCTAAAGTCTTTTTGACAACTAATAGTTGTTATTTTCCCACTTGAAGACATTTTCAAGCCCCACCTTTTTTAGGGAAGTTCTGAATTAGTATTATCTTTCAAATGCAGTTGGAATTTAACTTTTTCATTTTTTTGGCCTGCAAATGGGACATAGTACCTTTACTGAAAGAAATAGCCTCTTTGACAAATTGAATTATGTTTTTCTTTGATTGATTATATATTTTAATAACAATCATATCACAAATAAGGCGACTTCATACATGTGTAGGCCTGCGTACAAAGCAAGATAACTTTGATATATAGGGCACATCTCCGAAGATCCTTTATACCCGACTCCATTCATCTTTTCAATTCCAAAGCAAAACGTGTTTGACTACTATGAACCTACCATGTCAATGTATCAATATAAATGTAATATAATATCAATTTCAAACATATGCCATGAATATTGCATCCAACTATCAATTACCCATTGAGCCAGTAACTACAATATATGTGTTATCATTAACTTAACAATAATAACGATGCCGGTAATAATTATACTACTGAAAATGGTAATCGATAATAATAATAATAATAATAATCCAAATAATAATAATAATAATTTATGTATTTATTATCTTTTTAAGATTAACTATGGAATAATCAATGATATTAAATAATTTAGCTTCATATTTTGTCAAATGGGATCTGATATTAACTCTATAACCACTATATATACCGTGGCTTACTCATATTACCTCATTCATTATGTATGTTTATCATGTGTGTATGTTTATCGCTGTCCTGTAATATTTCATTTATATGTTTGTATTGTAATACTCTGTAACTAGTGGAAACCAAATTTCCTGAAAAGGACAATAAATTATTATACTTATACTTATACTTATACTTATACTCAATGAATTGAGTCAAAAATAAGAAATCACAATTTTTAATTTGTGAAGTCAGACTTACAATCCCGAAAAAGGAGACATAGAATCAGTGAGATGAAAGAAGCTGAAAAAAGCTATAACTTTGGGCGTTTTCTTGTGTAAGAATTTGTTTACTATTTTCATTGATTGAAATGAGAGAGCATGAAAAGACTTACCAACAAAGCAATAATTTTTTTGGTATTCTTGTTGATTGAAATGAGCTCATGTGTGACCTTTTACACCATGAATGACAGGGTTTCTCTATGACGTAAGTGTGTAAATACAATTTACATTAAATACTTTGATAGTGAGTATTTGCTTTAATTAATGGTTCTTGTTCTTGTTCGTGTTCTTCTTGTTCTTATCGTTATTGTTTTGTTAATCTTGTTCTTATTGTTATTGTTATTCTTGGTGTTAATCGGTTCTTCTTCTCCTTCACCTTCTTCTCTTTCTCCTCCCCCTCTTCCTCCCCCTCCTCCTCCCCCCCCCCCCTCATTGCCTTCCTTCTCCATCCCCTCCTTCTATTACTTTTGTTTGTATATATTTAGTGATTTTATTGGTCATAACATACTATTTATTCTTTTCATATTTGAAACATATTTATTAATTATACATGTGTAAGTAATAATTAATAATGTACCGATACATTATTTCTGTGAACACACTGAACATAGGTCTTTATCATAAGGGCTTTGCAGCCTATCACTAAGATACACTAAAGATTGCAATATTACGAGCGTTGCGATGAAGATTATTAATGCTGAATCAAAGGCGGTGCCGTAAAGTGAGAGAAAATATATTTTTCTAACGCATTGTACAGTGTAACTAGTTGTAATCAGGGCAAAGTTTGTGAAGAGTGCCACCAATATGTGTAACTCATCGATTTTTTAAATTTTTATTCAGGAGTCGGGTTCGGAGCCATCGGGAAACCCGCTCCCATCTAACATTTGCAATAAAATGTCTCCTACGCACATCTACATACTGATTCAAGAAATCAATGCCCCCCTGACACACACACACACACACACACACATGGAGAACTAAATTTTGAAAACAGTATAGAAAGTGAGCTCATTGATGACTGACAGATGATGTCACAGGGGGAAAGAGATCTGGAAGTTTTTTTGGGTGGAGCTTAGCAAGTTTGAAAAACAAATATTTAAAAAAATATTTAAAAATCTATGAAACAAATTCAGAAGTTTACATATCAAAATATAAGATGTATGCAGGACTGCACACCAACAGGAATACACTTGTATTTCGATGTCATGGGCCCTTTAATTGATTATGTTATCAACTATTTAAGCCCGTACAACATATAGTACAAAACACTACTTTGTATCATCACCAGGTAGTCAACAGAATCAGCACCTGATGCATTAGCAAATAGCACGCCTTTCAGTATATATACATATATATATATATATATGTATATAAATTATAATGTGCGCACAGATTTCAAACGAAAAAACCCAAGTAGGCCTACTTGACTATGTTATAAACTACTTAAAGGGATAGTTGATTTCTGTGGCAGAGGGCGCTACACAAAATAATTTTGTTGTGAGATAATGAAAAACTGAGTGTCAAATTAGAAAGAACATACAATTTAAATTACGAAATCATCTTTGTTTGATCAAAATCGGTTCAGAGACGGCTGAAATATCCATAAATATAACGATTTATAATACTTGTGTACCACCACAAATATTAGATAATTTGAAAAAACCGTTGGAAAAAACGAAATAGCGCCTTTTACGTCGTATTTCAGTCAATGCCGATGTTGGCTTTTTTGTTGGCATTTTCGTGTTGGTTACATTACGCAACCAGCCGGCCCATGTATCGTTATTTTTAATTAAATAATTAATTAACGGTCACCATATTTTTGGGAAAGCGGAGCTGACTTAATATGATCGTATTGGCTCAATTTCACACATTTTGGGGTCTAAAATTACCTTCATAGCAATTTTAGGTTCTAAAAGGGCACTAAAAATATTAAAGATAAGAATAAGAGCAATGACCATGCACTTTGGAGGCGTTTGTGGTCTGAAAACAGGACTCAACTATCCCTTTAAACCCGTACAACATGTAGTAAAAAATACTCCCTTGTAAATATAATCACCAACAGATAGTCAACAGAATCGGCACCTGATACATTATCAAATAGCACGCCTTATAATCTTCTTGAATTGCATAACTTGAATTGTCAACTCTAATTTGTGGACACTGATAAACAACGAGGTCAGCACTAATACTCCTACTTTTGGCCTGTATTATGTAACAAAGCGTTGTGATAAACGAACTCTTCCATAGGATGATATGTTTCGTTGGGAACTAGTCAAGCTCTTGCTCTTGGTCAGGAAAATATGAAGTTTGACGACATTTTAAAGATTGTTGGAGAGTTTGGGCCGTATCAGATTAGAGTGTATAGCCTGGTGTGTATACTGGTCTTCACCACCTCATGGGAGAGCCTCATTACTGTGTTTATAGGGGCTAATGTAGATCACTGGTGTGCGGTAAGTTGAAGAGTGTTTTATTTAATTTAAATATATATCAAACCACTGGCGTAGCCATGGGGGCGCATTGGAATCCACTCCCCCTCCAATCACAGTCTAATCTATAACAGCCGAGGACAGAAAGGCTTACAGAGCGGTAGTCAAAACTGTGTCGTATTTTAAGAAACAAAATAAACAAAAGAAATATGATAAATCTAGATCACACATGGAAAAGAGATACCGGAATACTTTTATGAATTCTCGAAAGCTGCATGTACCGGTTCGTTCAATGAGGCACCAACAAAACCATTTTTTTCTGATGATGTTGCTAATGATTATTTTGGAGGTAAATACAGCACACCAAATGTTATTAATAGCGGTTCTCTGATTTGGTTTCCTTATGTGAATATTAATACCCCTGACCGCTTCGAGTTTGACATGACTCCAATTAAACCGAAAGATGTTAAGAATGTGTTAAGAAGGGAAAAAAAGCTATGTCAGCACCTGGATATGATGGCCTTATGTACGAAATGATAAAACATTTGGACTCTGTGCACCACTTCCTTGCAACTCTGTATAACAAGATTCTTGACTCTGGTGACCCGCCCGAAAGTTGGTCAGAATCTAAAGTCAGGGGATACCGATAAGCCAGAAAACTTTCGTATGATTTCGTTAACATGCTGTATCAGCAAATTTTTCCACCAGATTATTGCTGAAAGATCAATGTCCTATCTTACTGACAATAACTTTATTGATAAAACGCTGTATTCACGATTGAATGGCAGGGTAAGAGGCCCCGGATGGATAACAAAATATTTCGAATTCAAGCGCGGAGTATTTCAAGGGGACCCCCCAGGCGCGGATCCAGGGGGGGGGGCCGAGCGGGCCTTGGCCCCCCCCCCCCCCCCCCCCGCAAAAAAAAAAAAAAAAAAAAAAAGAGAGAGAAGAAAGGAAAAGCAGGGAAAGGGAAAGAGGAGAGAAGGGAAAGAAAGAAGAGAAAGAAAAAAAGAAAAGGGGGAAGAAGGAGATCGGGGGGGGGGTCGAAAGGGCCTTGCCTCCCAGGCTGTTGACCCCCCCCCCCCAATAAAAAAAATAAGAGAGAAGGAAGGAAAGGGAAAGAAATGACATAATTCCGAGATTTTTCCTCACTTTTGAGTAAATACGTTTGTATGTGTTTGTTTGAGAATGACAAATTACTAAATTTACAGCCAGGCAAGAAATATGATTCTTGAGATTCCTACATGTCAGGCCCAAGGTGGGGCGGGGATCGGGAGCCTCGAGCTCCCTCCCCCCCCCCCCCCACACTTTTTTGAAAAAGTATATTACAGAGAAATAAAATAGAATAAGAGCAAGAAAGAAACAATAGTTAACTGCCAGTGTTAAAAATTAATGAGGAATCTAAATATGCTCATCTGACCGTGATTAAATGCCTAGAACCCCTAAGCTCCCGGGGGCTCTGCCCCTGGATTCCACCTAGGACCCTACGGCGGGCCCTTAGATGCTCATCTGACGGTAATTTAATGCCTAAAACCCCTGATTGGGGGGGGGGGGGGCTTCGCCCCCTGGAACCCACCAGGGGCCCTAAGGCGGGCCCCTAAATGCTTGCGGGGTCGGACAAGGTATCAAAATGTGTTTATCTGACCGCAGGCGCGTAGCCAGGGGGGGGGGGGGGCGGTCCCCCCAAATCGGAAGAGGACGTAGGAAGAAAAAAGAGCAGACAAAGAACACATTTAAAAAAGGATTAAGAGTATAGACAACGGTACAACGCATCGTCTTCTTTCTCTAAAAATTTAATGAAACGTCAAAGCTTCGCTCAGGAGGGGAGGGGGGGGGGGAACTGAATTCAGACAAGGATTAAGAATCGAGAACGGTACAGCGAATCGTCTTCTTTCTCTCATAATCTTGTGAAACGTCAAAGCTTCAGCGCGAAGCGCAAGAGTGGGGAACCTGAATTCAGACGAGGATTCAGAGGCGAGAACGGTAATACGAATCTTTAATGATTTAATGAAACGTAAAAGCCTCCGCGCTTCGCGCGGGATGGAGGGGGAACTATATTCCGACGAGGATTATTTTTCGAGAACGGTACAACGAATCGTCTTTTTTCTCTAATGATTTAATGAAAATTAAAAACTTCCGCGCTTCGCGCGGCAGGGGGGAACCTGAATTCAGACGAGGATTTAGAGTCGAGAACTGTACAGCCAATTGTCTTCTTTCTCTCATAACATTATGAAATCTAAAAGCTTCTGCGCTTTGCGCGGGAAGGGGGGGGGGAGGGGACCTGAATTCAGACGAGGATTAAGAGTCGAGAACTGTACAGCCAATCGTCTTCTTTCTCTCATAATCTTATGAAACTTAAAAGCTTCCGCGCTTTGCGCGGGAAAGGGGGGGGGGACCTGAATTCGGACGATGATTAAGAGTCGAGAACTGTAAAACGGATCGTCTTCTTTCGAATGCTTTAATGAAACGTAAAGGCTTCCGCGCTTCGCGCGGGAGGGGGGGGGGGGGGGGAATGAATTCAGACGAGGATTCAGAGGCGAGAACGGTAATACGAATCTTTAATAAATTAATGAAACGTAAAAGCTTCCGCGCTTCGCGCGTGATGGAGGGGAAACTATATTCCGACGAGGATTATTTTTCGAGAACGGTTCAACGAATCATCTTCTTTCTCAAATGATTCAATGAAAATTAAAAACTTCCGCGCTTCGCGCGGGAAGGGGGGGGGGACCTGAATTTGGACGAGGATTAAGAGTCGAGAACTGTACAACGAATCGTCTTCTTTCGAATGATTTAATGAAACGTAAAAGCTTCCGCGCTTCGCGCGGGAGGGGGGGGGGGAGGGACTGAATTCAGACGAGGATTAAGAGTCGAGAACGGTACAACGAATCGTCTTCTTTCTCTAATGATTTAATGAAACGTAAAAGCTTCCGCGCTTCGCGCGAGAGGGGGGGGGGAACCTGAATTCAGACGAGGATTAAGAGTCGAGAGCTCTCCAAAGAATCGTCTTCTTTCGAATGATTTAATGAAACGTAAAAGCTTCCGCGCTTAGCGCAGGAGGGGGGAACTGAATTCAGACGAGGATTAAGAGTCGAGAACTGTACAGCCAATCGTCTTCTTTCTCTCATAATCTTAATGGAACTTAAAAGCTTCCGCGCTTCGCGCGGGAAAGGGGGGGGGACCTGAATTCGGACGAGGATTAAGAGTCGAGAACTGTACAACAAATCGTCTTCTTTCGAATGATTCGCGCGTGATGTAGGGGGAACTAAATTGCGACGAGGATTATTTTCGAGAAAGGTATAACGAATCGTCTTCTTTCTCTGATTCAATGAATCGTAAAAGCTTCCACGCTTCGCGCGGAAGGGGGAAAACAGATTTCAGGCGAGGATTAGAGTCGAAAACGGTACAACGAATCGTCTTCTTTCTCTAATGATTAAAGTAAACTTAAAAAGCTTCCGTGCGAAGCGCGGGAGGAGGGAACCTGAATTCAGACGAGGATTAAGAGTCGAGAACTCTCCAAAGAATCGTAATAATTTAATAAATCGTAAAATTTTCCGCGCTTCGCGCGGGAGGGGAAAAACTAAATTCAGACGAGAATTATTTTTGAGAACGGTACAACGAATCGTCTTATTTCTCTAATAATTTAATGAAACTTCAAAACTTCCGCGTTCGCGGATGAGGGAGGGGGAAACTCGCCCCTCCCTGCATCGACCCCCCCCCCCGCATTACGTCACTGTTGGTCACCATTACGTACCAATATTTGGCTCGCATAATTTCAAATTTGGCCCCCCCCCCTAAGAAATCCTGGATCCGCGCCTGGGACCCCCTGTCTCCTACAATTTTCCTCATGTGTTTTAATCCCGTTCTACAATATCTGAAAGAACAGCAGGATCAGTTTGGATACAAATGGGGAGACAGGAACATAATAACGACACCCTCCGCAGACGACTTTAATCTGATAACGGGGAACAAACCACAACACCCAAAACTCATGGGTAAGAGGACATATTTTTTTTGGTCCCAAAAATTTCGCAACGACCTTTCGGTCCGTTGGGGGGGGGGGGGGTAAGGTCACGTTTTTAGGTCACCCATTGGCATAAAAAAAAAAAAAAAAAAAAAAAAACAACAACCAAAAACCAAAAACCAAAGGGGGGGGGGTTCGTCCAAAATACACACATAAAAAATACGAAAGGAGGGGGGGGGGTTCAACCCCCCCCCCCCCCCCCCCACCCCCCCCCCCCCCCCCCCCCTGCGTACGCTCCTGGATTAATGTATCATGTATGGGGATCTTTCCTTCCTCATAATGTTACAATCTTCTTCTGTTATCATGTTCGATACTATACCACTTCTGTTTTTCTCTCCTTTTCTCCTTTTCTCCTGTTCACCTCTTCACTTTCCCTTTCTCTCTATTGTAATTGCAATGACGAATATTTTGTATTATTATTGTTAATGTACTTTGCTATTATTATAGTGTTGATTATAACCTGCCGCCTAACCCACTGGGTTGACGGGCCTAATAATGACTATCATCACTGATCACTCTGCCAATGGCATTATGGGGAAGAGTTGGGGTTCGGGGGCACATTCCCCCATTGAATGGAAGAATGGTTCGTAGTTCGGGGCCTGCCATGGCACTAACGTCCTTTGGCAAGATATTAATATACATTTCATACACACGACCCGGCAGGTGAGGTAAATGGGTACCTGGTTGGAATTGTGTGGTAGATGCTGTTTTATGATAATTACATGCAGACTGGATATGATATTTCAATAAATAAAACAAAAGTAATCAGAATTGAAAATGAATATGTTTTCTTCCCCTCTCCCACCCCCTCTCTCCCTCCCTCCCTCTCTCTCTCCCTCTCCCCTCCCCTATCCCTTTCTACCCTTCCCCTCTCTAATTCTCCATATATAAGTGATGATGAACAATTTAAGAAAACATATCAACAAATAAATTGTATGTTGAGTTTCATTATCTTTCATCGCGTAATCTTTGTGGAATGCTATAGGAATCGGCCATTATCGTAATGTTATCAAATTTAATGCATAAATATGTATTATTAATAATAATAATAATAATGGTGGCTTCTTATATGGCGCACATGTCCGTCACGTTGTGACGCTCCTGGCGCTGCCCCGATTATTACCCTGGCTTTAGCAAGGCAGCCACTGCGGCGCTCTAGCATTTCACGGAATTAATTCCTGCCAGGTACCCATTTACATCACCTGGGTTGAGTGTGGCAAATGAGTGTGCCATGTTACAAATTCTTCGATTCACCTGTTACGAATAGCATGTATTTCATAATCATAATGCCTATTGCATACATTACGAGTTGATAGGTAGTTTGTCCTACCTATCAACAATTAATGTATGTAATCCGCATTCCGAGTATTAAAACACAATTATTAATTACAGGTGAATGCAATAATTTGTAACATGGCACTTACCAAAGATTTATGCATTCAATTTAATTTTATTACAAAAATGGTGTTTGTTGACACCGTGCAGATTATGCTACCGTCATGTTCTTGACCTATAAAGAGACGAACGATCGGGTTATGGACCAAGTGATAAGATAAACTTGCCAATCTTACGTCATACTATTTACTCTGGCTTTATTGGTAGACCTTACTGACTTGTAAACGTGCCAAATACGAGTCATGAATGTAGGCTCTATTACAGTTGGATTCGTAAATCATTTTACGATACAAGATGATATATACTAATGTAATATATATATATTACCTATTATTTTCAGTGAACATGGATGAACTTTTATTTAGCCCTTACACTAAACTACGCCTCAAATTCAAAGCCCAAGCCCGAAACCGGTCCCTTCATCTTTGACGACATAAATCCATTGTTTGTTTGTTTTGAGGTTGCGCCTGTAATTCAAAGACTGTAAGTAGAAAAACAAAATCAAACAAGGCACTATACAGAATTTTATGTAACAATTTAAGGCTCCATCCGTACATTTTTCGACAGAGATGATTACGATCTGGAAAAAAAGTGTTAATGAATTATATATATATATATATATATATATATATATATATATATATATATATATATATATATATAAATATATATTATATTCCAAACAATGAAAACAGCTGTTATTACATAATGAATGAGGTGTCGAGAGTCAAGACACATTGGTTCATTCACCTGCCCAATCCAAGGATTGAGGGTTCGAATCCAAGCCTGGAACTAACGACCTTTGGCGACAAAGAGATTCGATCATACACAGCTGGGCGAGGTATGATTTCTGCATTTGCCACTCTCCACCCAGTTGTTAATGGGTACTTGGCAATAGCTGGGGTAGTAATATAATTACAGAGCCCTCAGGGAGAACAGATTTGATGCCGATAGGCTTCCCTGGTTAGACAAGAGTAATATCAATAACAACAACAAGGACAATAATGATATATATGTATCATCTTTATTCAGCGTAATAAACAAAGAAGTATAAACGTTTGAACCCAGGTCCATGACATAATAGTATACAATACACAACTGTGTCACTGGCAGGGTATACAAGAAAAATACAGCATGTACAATATAGGAAACATATAAAGCGTATACAGAAAATAGCAATAACAATGATATATCGAAAATATTATCGCTAGTGATATTCGTTTGTCTCGCAATGTGGTCAATAAGGAATCTAAAAGTTCACGACGTTTCGTGCGCTATTTGCAACACTTCGTCTGGTGATAATAACTACTGTAAGCAAGGGTCTTTTATACTCTACGGGAGGACCGGCGGAGCGGTCCATAATTCAATCGATAATTGGAACAATAACGCACAATGCCTATTGGTCGACGCACACGGTGATCGACCAATCACCAGGCCGCTGGTTCGGCCGCTGGTTCGGCTAATGCACCAGGCCTATTGGCCTATTGTGCGTTATTGTTCCAATTATCGATCGAATTATGGACCGCTCCGCCGGTCCTCCCGTAGAGTATAAAAGACCCTTGCTTACAGTAGTTATTATCACCAGACGAAGTGTTGCAGATAGCGCACGAAACGTCGTGAACTTTTAGATTCCTTATTGACCACATTGCGAGACAAACGAATATCACTAGCGATATTATTTTCGATACTACATCCGCAATGAGTAATATATTTAGCATTAACAATGATATAACTTAAACAAAAATAATAATAGAACATTATTATTATCATTACCATTATTATTACTGTTACTATCAATTACAATACTAGTACATCTACGTCTGATAATAGTAATAATAACAATAACAATATTATTATAATTATTATTATGTTTCCTTTTATGAATGATAAGATAATAATTTCATTTTATTTCTATTATTGAATATAATAATAATACTAATGATAATAATACTAGTAATAATAATAATAAGAAGAACAATAATAATGATAGTGATAGTGATAGTTCAAGTTCAAGTTCGTTTATTTACACTCATCATTAAAAATACAAGAACATATACAATTAAATACGGAATAATCACACATAAAATATCATGCATTCAACAACAAAAAACAAAAAAACATAACATAATCGGAGTGAAGGGATGAGCTAAAAAGGAGTATGGTCCTTATGCTAGAGCCCATCCCTCATTATAATATAAATAAAAGGCAAATTAAATTTGTACAATTAGAAGCATGAAAAAATGAGGGAAAACAGGGGGGGGGGTAAAGAGCCTGGTGAGTTATAGCACGTAAGATTCAATTAAATACATTTTATATTTTCGTTTAAAAGTTTGAAGACTTTTGCAATTTCTTATATTTATTGGAATGGAATTCCAAATTTTTGGACCATCGAAAGATATTGACTTTTTCATTAAAGTTGTTTTAATTTGTGGTAAGTGGAAATTAGATGCATTTCTAGTTTCATAATCATGAAAAGTCGAATTCAAATTCAAATACTTTAGAAGTGCACATGGTAAAGATTCATTTCGACACAGGTACATAAAGACTGCAATATGATATTTACAGATATCAAATACATTGAGAAGCTTTAATTTATAAAATATAGGTTTCGAATGAGCTCTGTAGTGTGAATTTGAAATTACCCAGATGGCTTTTTTTTGCATTTTGAGTATCCTATTCAGATTGGTTTGGCTTGTCATAGCCCATACTTCAGAACAGTAATATAAATGAGGAAGAATTAAAGTATTATATAAAATTCTTAAAACACATTTTGGGAGAAATCTAAGTTTGTTTAGAATGCCAGTATTTTTTGAGATCTTGTTGCATAAGGATAAGGATAATAGTAATATTAGGGATCGCCAGGAGTGTCAAGTCTGACAGACATGAGCGCTATACAAGAACCCACTATTATTATTATTACTTATTTTTTATTGGCATGGTTTATTATTATGGTTTATTATTATGGTTATTTTTTATTGGCATGGTTTATTAGGTTCCTGAGTGGGACTCGAATGACTGCAGTGCCTATGGCCTTACCGCCTCCGAATGCGAACTCTCGAAGAAAAATGGAAGTATCCCATCAAACTACACGTCAGATGGTGAGCTGGAGTACGCCCAATGTGAGAAATATAACGTGTCAGGGGTGGGATTCTGGCCGGGGATGGACCCGTCTAACTACACCGACGGGAGCACCGGCACCATCCCCTGCGACGCGGGTTGGGAGTACGATGATAGCCAGTACAAGTCAACGATCGTCTCTGATGTGAGTAATTAGTCAGATTTATGTGGACGAGAGAGCGCCCCACGATTTGCCCTTTTTTTCTAATTTGTGATATACTTTCTTTGCGGAATAGAATAACGACTATGATGACGATTATGAGGATGATATAGATGATAATGATGAAAATATTAATAATAATAATAATATGGACCAGTTCACGGTTAGCACATGTCCCAAATGACCCCGAATATCCACAGATCTTCAAAACATGAAGAGGTCCCACTTTGTACATTTTGAAATATATCTCTCCTACAACGATGGAGGTGCTACCTAAATAGCCTTTGTTTCCCCTTTTCAAAGAATACTTCAACCTGTGTATCATATAGTGCACTGCTTGTACATAAATCAATAATGACATACGTTTTATGAGCACGTAGGCCTATCCAGTATTGTGTCTCCGTGTATTTCACAATTTGGTCTGCAATGAACTTTATCAGCTCATGCTCAGACTGCAACCGTGAACTGGCTTACTATAATAACAATTATAAAATAGATTGAAAAGGGGGGGGGGGGGGTATCTGTTTAGTATTTAAATCTGTAACTATTAGTCACTCCCGATCATCTCTACATGGAACACAAGTTTTAAAAACATTTTGAAACCTCAGTATTGTTGTACAACTATTGATATAAAAAAAATGTTAACACTTTATAATTCTTTCCGCTGTTTACTTTTCAGTTTGAACTTGTGTGTGGGAATGAGAATCTGAACCAAATTTCACAGACAATTTACTACGGTGGATTTCTAGCCGGGTCGATAATCTTTGGAGTTATGTCCGATGTGTAAGATTCACATTTTATTTAGGTATCGTTTCATGAAATCGTCATAAGCATATAGGAGTTTGCCGAAATCCCATTGAAGAGTATTTGAATGTATATATACAGCCATACAGGGGAGTGTTTCACAAAGATTCGAAGTCGAACTTAACTCTAAGTTGGACTTAAATATCATGGAGAGCCATTTGTAGCCTTATTTTGAAATATATTCAAAACGCAAAATTTCAAGGATATCAGATTTTTCATGAATTCCACATCAAGAACCTGAAATCTCCCATGAGAATAGAAAATATAAATGATTTGAATCACTATTTTATGCCTTTTAAAATAACTTTTACAAAACAACTTTTACAAAATAGTTTTGTGTCTGCGAACTAATGACAGTTTCGTGAAATGCTGCCATGTTTTCCATTACGGTAATTTCTCGGCTGCTATTAATAATAATAAAAAAACGATTCTAGAAATTTAGCCTTGAATATAACTTCTGCAAAGAGAAACTTGAAAGCTTAACAACTCAGCTATACAATTTATAATCATATAACCCTATATTGTTTCAAAACATGTATTTAGAAAATGGAGACTGACGAATGATAATCACAAGTCTTGACTATTTTTTGTGAATAAATTCTGTATTGCCTTCTTCGTCAAGTTCATCAATAGATTAAAGGGTATTAATTTGGTTTATCTATTCTACCATTAACTAACTAATCTTTTTTTTTTTGGAGGGAAGGGGTATTTATTATTAGGTTACATACAATTGTTCTAAGGCAACGGCTATCTAAAGTGTCTTTCTTCATTATTAAAGCCACACGTGTACTAGAAGCATTACCTCTAGCGCCATCTCAGGTCAGCTGTAACAGTGTGGCCTCATTACTCGCTGTGCTGTCGGTTCCACTTCTTCTTCTTCTTCTTCTTCCTCTTCTTCTTCTTCTTCTTCTTCTTCTTCTTCTTCTTCTTCTTCTGTACAAGTCGCCAGACTAGTTAGTCCATATAAAGACACGGAAACGAAGCACGGAAGTTAACTCATAGCCTGCCCTAAGACTGCATGCACGCTACCGTCATAGTGCTTTGTACATGCGAGAGAGCCATTGCTTCAGTGCCTTGTGTATGCTTGCACGCATTCGTATTGACAGTTAGTGTTCATGCTCATTGGACTGTGCTGTGTGTTTTGCACGCGCTATTCATAGAACCATCGCGTTAATAAGATTATCTCAAAATAAACTTGGCACGGAGGGATTCGGGGCTTGGCACAATGGGGATTAGCCCTGTGGCATGATAAGAGTAAAAACATTTCTTGTAACTTTCGTGTAATGTTTTAACTTCCATGGTAACCTTTCCACAGAATGGCAATTAAGTTGACCGTGAGATGGCGCTGTGTGATAAACAGAAGGCTAGGGCTAAGCATTTCATGTTCAGTATCGCTTTAATTAAATGCATGCAGTATTGGACGCTGGTGGACTCTTCAGATCTGTACCATCGTGAGACTAGTGACGGGCGTCCTCATCGCCTTTGCTCCAGAGTTGTGGGTTTACTCCCTCCTAAGATTCTTCCAAGGGATGGCGGGTGTCGCCACATACATCATTCTTTTCATCTTAGGTAGGTTCTATACTCCCGTGCCCATAAAATCCACCCCACACAATAGGATCTGGTTACAATCCGATTTTGGAACACTTTGCACTAACATTTGAATTTAAACTAAATTCTTAATGATCAATGATTAGAATAATTATTATGATTAATAAAACTAAAGTTTCCATGGATTTTACACTTCCTTGGACGAGGAATATCTAAATCGGCTCAAAATCGTAGGGAGTCATACCGGTAGTGTGATTTGAATCGATAGGTCCTTATTCCGACTAGAAACCTAATCGCCCTGACATTCCAGTTGTTGGAATACCATATTCACAATTATTTAACCGAGGGAGTCTAGGTTGCACCCGTTTTAAACTGCATAATATAAAATCTTTTCATTCGATGGAGAGCCTGGGGGAACCTTCTCAGACTCCCCTCCCCCACACACCCACACCCTCTCCTCATTAGTCACGTCAACTTCTCCCCTCACTTCCCTCCGACCGTGACATTAAGAAACCGCCACCCCACGGGCTATCTTATCTAGATATGAACTTAGAATTAATTTTTTAGATTCTGGATTTTATACCTATGTATTATAAAAAATGATACTTTTTATTCAAGCTTCACATTACATGAATTTCCCTATAATACCACTAACACCCATAAGCACGATAGGTCAGGGGTAATATGAACGACTTTTTAAAGAGCGCGGGTACAATCGCGGCCCCCACTCAGTGTAATTTAGGGTATGCGTATGCTTGTCCCCTCCCTTTGAAAGCACCTGCCTATATCTCCGTGTGAAAAGTCAAAACGGGTCGGATTTTGTCACGCGAACATGTACCCGTCTGCCGGAGATTTGGGGAAAGCGCATGTGGTCCTTCCCAGCCCGGAGTAGGGGGGGGGGGAACAAAATACAAAAAACATTTTGTATCAATAAAAAGGGGGGATGGTCATCAGATTTGTCTTCCTGCTAAAATAAAAAGGATCTCTGACAAACACAATCCGGAAGGAATGCTATTGGGATATCAAAGAGTGGGGGGGGGGGCACAGGCCGGATGAGCCCCCCCTTAAGAATATCCGCCAGTGAATAGGTTGTATGACATCATGCCCCGCGGTAAATTTACTGCACTCGTTCACGTTAACTTTGAACTAGCATTACAAAGAATCCTAATTCTAAACCTAACCTAACCAATTAAATAGCAACCATAAGCGAAGAACCTAAAACTTATTTTTTTACCCCTTTTTCTTGTTCGTCTTTTTTTTTTTTAAAGGAACGGAGTACGTGGGGCCGTCCAAAAGAAACATCGCCGGCATCCTGTTCTGCGTGCCATATTCTTTGGGATACATGCTACTAGCATTAATCGCTTTCTACTTGCCGTATTGGAGAACGTTAGAGCTTGTTGTCACTGCACCAGTTATACCTTTCTTCTTATTAATGATGTAAGGCCCCAACAAGATGTAAAACCTTTCAGAAAAGTTTGGAAACTCAAGTTAGATCAGTTTAATAGCGCTATTATGGCATAATATCCCATTTGTTCAGTAGCGTACGCAGGATTCTTTCGAGGGGGGGGGGGGGGGGGGGGGGGGGTTAAAAATTTGAAAATCGCGCCGAAAATTTCGCAACGACTCAGCCAGCCGGTGAATATGCGGGGGGGGGGGGTCCCAAAAATCAGTTTGGCTGACCGTTATTTCGTTCAATTAGGAGGGGGGAGAGGGGTTACCCTTTAGCACAATTTTTTTTTAATTAAAAAAAAAATTAGGGTGCGACCCCTACCCTGCGTACGGGCCTGCATTTGTTATGATTTTATTTATGGAATGTGCGGTAGATCAATAATACAATAATGACAGATTCATTTGTTGTAATACGAATACATTCTATAGGGGCAGGGGGCTGCTGTTTCTTGCCCATCAATGAAATTTCCAGTTCCTAAATTTGTTTTAAATCTTATATCTTATATCGTGAATCTAATTTTCCATTTTGAAGGTTCATGCCCGAGTCCGCCAGATGGTTAATGTCGGTCGGGCAGTACGAAAAGGCGGAGAAAATCATAATAAAAATTGCGGAGGTTAACAAGGCGACTGCACCAGATCCAATTTTTACAGAAGAGTTTAAGAAAAAAGAAGTAAGTGTTCATGATGCTTCTCGAAAAAAACACTGCCTCGAAGCAAAACATACAACGCAGTTGGAAGAACGTCTATAATTGTATCATAGTAGCAGAAACACGATCGCAAGGGCTTTCGAAAAATCATCTCAGGGATTAACCTTTTGTATATCGCATAGAAATCATGTTTAAAAACGAAATCCATTACTCTAACATTTCGATGAATGATAGGCCTATCATGGACAAGGCTACTGAAATTGCCGTTCTCTGAAGGCACAAGTTGAAATATTGTGTAAAAAGCGAGCACCTCATCCCCAATTTTTCCGTCTACCCCATCCCCTTTTTGGTTAAGGGGGGGGGGCACATGGCTAGAGTGCCTTTTAGATCTGCATATTAGTAGTGTTGTAATATTATCGTTATTGTTGTTACTTTTATCATAATTATCACCATTATTCTTACGATAGTATTGATGATAATCAGTATTGTTTGTATCACTATCATTGTTGTTGCTAATATAATTGTTATGATGTTCATTACTATGTATAGATCGTTAAAAAGGCTCAATATTCATGTTTCCTCCCAGACGATAAATCGGGAACAGAACAAAGCCACTATATTGGATCTTTTTCGTACTCGGACAGTATGCCTCCGAACTCTCAACCTTATCTTCAGTTGGTGAGTTACCATGATAACACACATTTTCATTGAAAACCTCTGAATATTGGCAGTAACATCAAATACAATGCAGCCTGCGAAGTTGAAAACTTATGAAAGCTTCTAAACACCCTAAAACATCTAATGAAATAATGATAATACAATAATGAACTTTTCATATTTATTGCACTATGATTATGCTGAAGATACACTGCACTTCAAATCCAAATTATTATTTAAAAAATTAACATGAATTATATTGATAATACCCTCTGCCCGCCCCTCCCCCCCCCCCCCTCCCCCCCCCCCCCAAAAAAAAGGCAAAAGAGGCAATCAAAGAAAGAAAGTGTACTAAAGAAAATGGAGAGCTAGGGGAGGGCAATCTGAAAAAGTTACAAAACTATCTGACACCCTCATCTTCTTGGTGGCCTTGTTAGCTGGCTTTCATTCGCACCGAATGTGCCCCTACCAAAACACGAATGCGCCCGTAATGCTTTACTCCCGCTGCCCCACTGCATAATTATGAAGTATTTTCTTTTAATCTTTTGTAAATTCAAATTTGTACAGCCTTTAACTTTTGTCTTTAATTATTTTTTTTAAAGCAATAAACCAAATCAAATTAAAAAATACATATATATATATTCATATTGAAACTTTCTGTGTACGAACTTCAGAAACTCCTGGTGGTCCAAAACTCGGCTACAAGGCTCGTGACAAAAACATAGAAACACGAATCCATATCTTCGGTTTTAAGAGTCTGACATAGTTTATCGGTCAGATCACGTATTAATTCAAAATCTTGCTGCTATAATTATAGCTTTCCCTTGTTTTCATGACATGGCTCCATCCTATCTTTTGCAGTTACTCATAGAATATGAACCGGTAAGAAATCTGAGGTCACTACAGATTGATATGTATATAATTTATGTTTTACCTGTGTTTAAAACGAAGTCTTGTAGTGAATAGGCTTTTGGGCATGCTGCCCCTGAGCCTGAGCAATGAAATATTATCTCACACAATGTATGACATGTTAAAGGGAGTGTATCATGGCAAATAATGGTTAACGCCGTCTACGTCTTTTTTTGGACAACTGCACGTAAACGAATAGACTTGATAAACTGGGTCAGCGCGCGCTAAACTTGGTCAGTGCGCGCTAGCGTTGGCGAAACAGACCGAAGTTCTCCTCACGCTTCGGTTTCGCTTAATGTTGCACGCACGCGAATGCTGCGGTCGCATCGTCCGTAGTCGTATTATACCCGATTGGCCCCGGGTAGGGCCACGGGAACGACAGATAGTCTTGCATGACACACTCCCTTTAAGACAATTCAGCAGTTCGAAATGGCTCTTTAGACATAATATTTGTGATCAATCAAACACAAATCGGCAGTTCTGTGACGTTTCTTGCGCCCCCCCCCCCTCCCCATACGAAATGTCCTTTTTTTAAAATTAGAATGTTGTTAATCATACATGCACCTTAAATATAATTATCGCTGTAAAAAAATATATAGTCCGTCAGTAATCACACAAAATGGCGGTTTATGGAATTTCTTGTTTAGAGAAAATTGGAAGAGACATCGCAAGATTATGTTGATGGCAACTACAACAATTCATAACTTTCCCTTTCTTTAGTCGAATATTGCTCAAACTTTAATTTTATTTATTTATTTATTTATTTATTTATTTATTTATTTTTATTTATTTATTTTTTTTTGGGGGGGGGGGCGTTTTGGGGGCTTTAATTAATACCAGACGTCTATCAGTGTAGACTTCCAATTAAAGTCAACATACACAGATCTATACGGTGGTTCTTTATATCATGTTATTACTATATAGGATGGTCCATTCAATGGTGTACAGCGGCTTGTCACTCAACACTTCAAATCTCGGCGTCAATGACTACGTCGCGTTCACGATCTCGGGCGCTGTCGAGATTCCGGCTTACCTTCTCACGATCTTCACCGTCGAGTACTTCGGGAGGAAACCGAGTCTCGTCACCTTGGTGCTGTTAGGGGGCGTGGCTTGTTTGACAACTGCTGCCATTCGTAAGTATGCATCAGTGCATGAGGGCGCTAGGAAGAATTATATACCTAACTTAAGAAATCCAGCCATCTGATTGGTCGAAATTGCAGTCATGGTTTTAGCCATTCCCTTAAATAAACGAAAAATGCCACGCCCATGTAATAGTTCGAGGGTAAAATTCAAGTTACCGGAAATAGTTCAGTCTTGCTTAAAACCTGGTTTGAGCGATCGCGGATACCATACACACGTGTACGTGTGCGAAGAATTGGTCGCTAGCTTAATTAACCAATTTTTTTTAATACAGAGCGCAGCGCAGACGACCGTACGGCAACCTCGATCGTACTGAATTTCAAACAAGGCAAAAATGGCTGAAGAAACTCTCCCAAGATTTCAACTTCTTGATGATGATCAAATGCAAGGCTTTATTAATTCTGAAGAACACCAAAAGGTATCTGAAATTCTCCATAAAAAATGTGTGTGCTAAAACCTTCCCATAGAGATTGCACATATCTCTAGATCTATGCAGTCCAAGTGCATTGCGCACTAATGCTAAATTGGTCGATGTTTTAATTACCAAAATGAGATTCAAACCAATATTGCTCGTGATCCTGAAGACAGGGGCGGATCCAGCCGGCGACAGGAGGGGGGGGGGGGGGGGGGGGCCCAAATCGTGATAATTTTTTTTATTTATTTATTTTTTTTAGCGCCGACTTAGCCGGCCGGGCCGGTGAATAAGCGGGGGGGGGGGGGGGGGGGGGGGGGGGGCTAAGAGCACATTTTTTTTTAAGGAAAAATTTAGCGCCGACTCAGCCGGTCGGTGAATAAGCGGGGGGGGGGGGGGGGGAGGTGGGGTAGGGGTGGTTCGAGAGGAGAACCACTAATTTTTTTTTGAGGGGGGAGAAAATATATCTAATTTTTTTTTTGTTGGGGGGGGGGGACGCTTTTGTTTTTTGTTTAAAAAAAGGTTAAATTTACGTTATTATCCTATTTTTTTAAACAGTTTGGGAGGGGGGCTGGGGGGGGGGGGGGGCCGGGCCGGAGATATCGCTACGTGGATCCGTGCCTGCCTGAAGATGATACTCAATAAGTGAGGTGTCATATGAAAGAGCAGGTTTTTCTCCATATTCCCCACAGGGGCCAACCCCCAAATTTTTAAAAATATCTTGCTTAGAGTCAGACTAGAAATAAACTCTTAAAGATACACTCATAAAAAAAAACCGTGCAGATAAACTAGAGAAAGGCCAAGGTGGTGTCATAATTTTTTTCGGCATATAAAAGTATTAATGACTGCTTTAATGTTCGAGAAATAGTTGTTTGAATACGCTCTCGGGAAGGTTACAATTGGGCTATTGCCCTCGGCACGCCTCGGACAATAGCACAATTGTAACCTTCCCTTGAGCGTATATAAACAACTATTTCTCTCAAAGCAGTCATTAATACTATACTATCAATACATAGCTACTTGAATGAGACAGTTACGTCACCGGAAGTTGCTCCTGATTAGTCAGGCATTTCATCAAGCTCAAAAATAGTTCCCTCCAATAGCGAAGATGCGCGTATCACAACTGTCTCTTCCAATACTATACCAATTGAATACATTTATGTATATATAACATAATAACCCCCAATGAAGGATAAGAATTCGTAAACAATAATTATAAACGTGCCGCTTAAAATATGTAAAATGCATCTTGCCCTCATCTCCTTTAGGGGAAATCCAATCTTTAATAGACAAACGGTATATAAATTTTGTTAATATATAGGCCTACTCTCAGACTGGTGAATTTAAATTGATTCAATAAACAAAATACCATTGAACAGGTATGATTTGTTAAAATGTATCTCTTTTTCAGTATTGACACCTGGGATGCGGTACATAAAACAAGTATTAACTGCTTTCATCCTGGTTTTTCCGGTTTAAACTGGAGTACAGTACACAGCACAGTTTTGGGATCGCGTTGGGCAATAGTTTTCATCGTGACCCCCAAATCAGTCAATTATTATGTGTATCTTTTTCAATTTTAAACTCAGCCGAGGGTGTATGGCTAACTACAGTGGCAATGATTGGTAAATTCGGCATCGCAGGATCGTTCGGTGTCCTGTATCTGTACACGGCTGAACTTTATCCAACAAGCATTAGGTAAGAGGACACATCTTAAAGCCCATGAACCGCACAATATAATGCGATCCAAATACGATTATGTACGATCGTCCTGCGATCTGATTTTGGAAGAATTTTGCACCACCATTTTGATACGAACATTCAAATATGCACTGTGAAAAGGTTGGGCAATATTTTCCAACACATTGCCCAACGTTGTGCCAATATTCAAGCCAATCATTTATTAGGCAATATTTTGCAATTGTTTCGTATTTTTTCCCCAACAGCTGGTCAAGATTCTCCCAACAAGTGGGCTACGGTAGTCGGGCAGTTAAAGGGTCATTATTTTTGCCCAAAAATTAATGTTGGTCAAAATACGAAATAATTATGCACGTGTGAAGTAGGGTTTACCAATACCGCTGGGTGAAATATTGCCCAATAAGATGGTTGGGTTGACTATTGGCGCAACGTTGGGCAAAGTGTTGGAAAAATATTGCCCAACCTTTTCACAGTGTGTCAAATCTCAATGACCGAGGATCTGAATAGTCATAATTGATTGAGAAAATCTAAATTTCAAGGGATGTCATGCTTCCTTGGAAGAGGAAAAGCTTAATCGGCTCAGAATCGCAGTGAAGTCAGACCAATACTATAATGCGACTGTCTACGAATTTGATGGAGACAAAAAAAAAATCGGTCTTTATATACATATGGTCTTAATGTGCAGGTTCCTTTGGTATACATGTTTCAATGAAAGACAACTTTCTATATAGGGAAACGAAAAATGGGGTCTGTATATATCGACAGGCGGTATTTCTAAAGCAGGTTTGACTGCACAGATTTTTTTTTTTCTGACGCAGGACTGTAGCTGTAGGGACCTGCTCCATGTTCTCAAGGGTAGCAAACATGCTGGCACCGCTGATTCTTACACTGGACAAATTCTGGGCTCCCATGCCACTGGTGATCTACGGCTCCGTGGCTGTCCTGGCCGGGATCCTGGCCCTCTTCCTCCCCGAGACGCGCGGCCTAACGCTGCCAGAGACCAGGGCGGAGGGAGAAAACTTCGGAAAGTAAGAAGAAAAGAAAATGTTGTATATCCAGGAGCGGCGATGCAGATTAAAGTTGCTCACCATAGTTGCTTCTAAGCTCGTTCAGAACGAAGCGAGAATTAGCGGCATTTTGTGAATGATGACTTAGTTTAGTCCTGAATGTTTTAGATAAATCAGGATTAATGACGAGAAGACGGGACGAGAAGACGGGACGAGAAGACGAGACGAGAAGACGAGAAAAGGAGTCTAGAAGAAAAGAACACGAGACGATATCCTTCGATATCCTTGATCTCGTCTAATCGACTTCACCATGTGCTGGACGAGAAAACAAGATCCTGATCTCGTCAAGTCGACTTGATTTGAATGAGAAGACAAGATCCAGCATTTCATCTTCTCGTCTCCTCATCCTCATCAGGTCGACTTGACGAGATTCTTATCCAGGCACGTAGCCACGGGCGGGGGGGGGGGGGTGCACGTGCCCCCCCCCCCAAAAAAAATCCAAGATCGGTTGAACTTTTTTTGACCTCGATCGATTACATGTATGTGCCCCCCCCCCCCAAAAAAAAGAAAAAAGAAAAAAAAAAAAAAATCAAACTCTGGCTACGGGCCTGTTCTTATCTACTCATATTGTTGTCCTAATCAAGTAGAAAAGATCTAAGATCTTTTCTTAGCGTCTTCTCGTCCTCATCAAGTCTTCCGTAGGCGAGATCCAGTGTCTCGTCTTCTCGTATTCCGTCGTCCAAACCGAGCCAAATTGACGATATCTAGGGAGTTTGTCTTGTCTTTTTGTCTCGACATCTTCTCGTCTTCTGGACTTTTTTCTTCCCGTCCCGTACATACATCATAAATTGGAAGAAAAAAATATTTAGATCCATGTCCATGCAGACATGCAATGTTTGAGGCCAAAACAATTATCAAAAGATCGTAATTTCTTCCATCTCTCATCTCATTTTTCTTCACAGGAAAATGGCCGCCGATGACATTGCTAATACTGACAAGAAGGAAAATGGTATCCTTAGTGTGAGCAAGGGAGTCGAACTAGAAGGGGTAAACAACACACAAGAAAAGGGTGATACTGCGGACTACGTCAACCCATCATACGTAATCTAATGTAACCCTGTGATTTTCATGGACTCGCTCGCGACTCACCCGGACCCGTCATTTTTTTCTGCGGCACAGATTAGGGCTTTTTTTTTTAAAGAGGTCTTGATTTAACCCTAACCCTAAACTTTCCCATAGGCTCAACACGCACCTAACCCCAATCTGTGCCGCAGAAAAAAATAACGCCACCCGGACAGGATTTTAGATATTAAGTGATCAGTCTTTTTCTTCTTCAAATTGACAACATTGTTAAAGAATATATAAACTGACAGAAATGAGCACTAATTTTTGTTTTGTTTGGGTCCTCGAAAATTGAAAAATTGCACCCCTTGAGCTTGTGGAAACGTTATAAAACTGGACAGTCAGCAAAATTGTGTGCAGACATTAATTTGTAATATTCTTTCGGCTCAACATTGAAACTTCATTGAGCGGTAACCACAAAATAATATATGTAATTAGTATGAAGGGCAAATAAAGCGCATTATTGAAATACTTTTCTAAACAATCCAACAAAATAAACTGACATTTTTTTGTCAGACTGTTGAGACCTTAACCACTCCTCTTAAATATGATTATATATAACAATAATGATATTATGATGAGATTTCCGTCGTGTCAATTCGTTTATACGGAGACAACAATGGGAACGTCTAAACTTCGTTCACAAATTATGAAAATGATGCATTAAACCGCTGTTAGATTTTTAGGGTAAATTTATGGCATCTGTGATGAATTAAGTTATGTTCTTCTTTGATTTTATTATATATTTATATAATTATCATATCATATCATAAATAAGGCAACTTCATAAATGTGTAGGCCTGCGTATATACAGACCAAGATAACTTTGATATTATAAAGGGCACATCTTACGGAATCGAGCCGAAAATAAGAAAACACAATTTTTGATTTGTGGAGCCAGGCAGACTTACAATCCTGAATAGGAGATATAGAATCAGTGAGATGAAAGAAGCTAAAGAAGTCAAAACCATTTATTTAATTTTCTTGTGTAGGAAATTATTTAACATTCTCATTGATTGAAATGAGAGTGAATGAAAAAACGAACAAAGCAATACACTTTTTGGTATTCTTGTTTATTGAAATGATGTCACGTGTGACCTGTTAGACCACGAATAACAGGGTTTTCAGATTATAGTAATAATATAATTTTTATATAGCGCTTAATTAATGTCTATAAGCGCTTTACAAATATACTATTACCCGGTCTTTGGATTTAGTGCTTGCCCGCACAATTTCCACTCCCTGGGAAGCATTCCAGCCAGGCGTTACTTGGCGCTCAAAAACTGTTTGACCAACAATGACGGTCGCATCCTACCGGGTACCCATTTGACACCTGGGTGAAGAGTAGCAAGTGCAGGTTAATATCTTGCCAAAGGATATTAGTGCCGTGTCGGGATTCGAACCTCGACGTAAGTGTAATACATTTCACATTAAATACTTTGATATGAGTATATTTATGCTTCAGTGAATGGTTCTTGTTCTTGTTATCCTTTTTTTGTCTCATTGTTGCTGTTCTTCTTCTTCTCCCTCCTAGCTTCTTCTTCTTCCTCCTCCTCTTCGATTTCATTATTATCATATTCTTCTTCTCCCCCTCATATCCTTCTTCGTCTAATGGCCTATCACGAAGATGTACTCAAGTTTACAAGATTGCGAGCGTTGCGACGACATTTAATGCCGCAAATGAGAGAAAACTTTTATTTGTAACAGTTACTGTTGTCAACAGGTACAGTTCAAAGCTTGTGAAGAGCGCCCTCAAGGTAAAGACGCTCATCGAAGAGTACTGTTCTTATAATCAGGAGTCTGATGCGGGGCCACCTTGAAAAGGGGGTGTGCCGCTCAAGCCTCGTCATTTTTCTCGAAAAAAGACCCACTTTTCACAATTTTCGGGTGTTTTTCGGGTGTGTTTCAAAACATTTGCACATTTAGGGAATTTTGAAAATACGGACCCATTTTTAATGGTAGTTTTGTTAAAAGTGGAACCCATGTTTAGGGATTTTTTGTGTGAAAAAGTGACCCATTAGAGCGGGACACCCCCGTATGTCCTCATATGTGAGCCCCCCCCCCCCCCCCCCCGGGCTGGAAAACCGCTCACACCAAACATTTGCAAAGTATCTTTTTGTATAGTTTAAGAAGTCTATTTGTCAACTTCACCCTACCCCCACCCACACCTCCCTCCCTCCAACGGACACTACTTATCTTATTTAAATATTAAAAATCTTTTATTATACAGTATGAAAAACTTGGTCAAACCATGAACCTAATACAATAGTCAAACTCGTTCACATAAAACTAAGAAAAAAAGGCTAAACTATATAAAGCTCCTGATGCCTGGTAAAAAAAAAAAAATTAAAAATACGTCATGCATTTTCGTAAAATCGTCTTTATCTAATTAATTCACTATACTATACCAAAGTCACATCGATTGAATTAACGAGCCATTGTATGAATGATACTATGATCTTTGATCGGAAAAACAAGTTAATTACGAAAGGATGCCTCATGCAGTATCGCACGTAAACGATCACCATGACAACCTAATCATCGGCCTGGTTGTACAGCGACACATACTCTCGCCACAATATCACTAATTGATAATTAGTGTGGCAGAGCTCAGTTTCCTATACACACCAATTGTATTCCTATAGTCTCGACCCTTCACACAATTAACCATAAACCTAATTCTAACCTAAATATTAGTTTTAACCCTAACCGTGACCTTCTATAGTTGACAATAAAGTTCGGAGCAACTTTTTGTCTTCTTCTCTGATCACCCATCTGATTGATCAATTTAATTCACTACAAGTCAATGAAATTGTCTATATTAGAAAGGCAACTTAAAGGCCTCTACATTATAGCCATGAATTGGTGAAGTTGGGCATTTTGACATTGTATACAGAAATACACATCTGTGACTCTCACTGTCTGCATTTAAAAGTTTCGATCTTCCTCGCAGGCCTATACACTGTTTTTTTTTTTTTACACAATAATATCATAATGTCATGACTATGTTATATAACTCCAAGAAATTATGACTACTGATGTTGTCGACACCCCCCCCCCCCCTCTGCCCCGCCCCACCCGTCCGTCTCTGTCTCTATGTCCCTCCCCTCTCTCTCTCTCCCTCTCTCCCTCTCTCCCTCTCTCCTCTCTCCCTCTCTCTCTCTTAAACCCTCACGTCACACACATGAACATGATTTAAAGGTAAAGACCAATTTGGAAACGCCCCCCTCTCAAAAAATGAAATGGAAGCTCATATTATGGGAAAGAATATGTTTTGACTAATCTGATGATACACATTTTGCCGGGAAACCGCCTACTTAATGATATATTTGGTAAATTATCATATTGATCCGGTGTGACCGCGTAGAATGTAACCCGCACCGATCGTCCGACTATTAGAGATCGATCGAGAGCGGACGATCGGTGCGGATTTTATCCGCGCAGAATGTCCGTCTCGGACATTCCGTGCGCGCCTCAAATGTCTGACGGACAATCCGTGCGGAAGAGGTCTCGCACCAATAGTCCGCCTGCCGCACCGAATGTCCGTACTTTAGCCCACACGTATACATAGTCAATATAGTGGAGGCTGTTAGGGCTGAATAGGGGTTGTTTGGTGCAGATTCTTCTAAAAGCACCAAATTTGGCCAAGAGGTAGATTATAAAATTACCATACTTTTACGATTTCTTCCGGACGCCAAGAAGGGCACCCTCTGGGTATGCCATATTGGGCAAATCCAAAATGGCCGCGATCTGAGTTAAAGGTTGTATGATAATAGTTATATATTTATGGGGTTGGGGGGGTCAGAGAATCTAATTTTGATGTTCTTCATCGATTTGAGGTCTCCTAGGGTCTACCATACTGGTCATATTGGTCAAATCCAAAATGGCCGCCATCTGATAGTTACACATCAAGTGTAGTTACGAAAGGAAATGGGCTAGTATAATAGAGTTTATATAACTATGGGGTTTGGGGGTCATAGAATCTGATTATGATATTCTTTCATCAATTTGAGATCTCCTTGAGGCTGCCATACTGGTCATATTGGTCAAATCCAAAATGGCCGCCATCTGAGTTAAAGGTTGTATGATAATAGTTTATATATTTATGGGGTTTGGGGGGGTCAGAGAATCTGATTTTGATGTTCTTTCATCGATTTGAGGTCTCCCAGGGTCTACCATACTGGTCATATTGGTCAAATCCAAAATGGCCGCCATCTGATAGTTACACATCAAGTGTAGTTACGAAAGGAAATGGGCTAGTATGATAAAAGTTTATATATCTATGGGGTTTTTGGGGTCAGAGAATCTGATTATGATATTCTTTCATCAATTTGAGATATCCTTGGGGCTGCCATACTGGTCATATTGGTCAAATCCAAAATGACCGCCATATGATAGTTACAGGTCAAGTGTAGTTACGAAAGAAAATGGCTAGTTTGATAAAGGTTATATATTTATGGGCTTTTCGGGGTCAGAGAATCTGATTATGATATTCTTTCATCGATTTGAGATCTCCTCGGGTCATACAGGTGATATTGGTCAAATCCAAAATGGCCGCCATCTGATAGTTACAGATCAATAGTAGTTACAAAAGGAAAAGAGCTAAAATGATAAATAAAAAAAAAATTAAAAAAAAAATTATATAGTAAGGGGGTTTTCTGGGTCAGAGAATCTGATTATGATGTTGCTTGTATCAATTGCAGGTCTCCTTGGGGCTGTCATGCTGGCCATATTGGCCAAATAAAAAATGGCCGCCATCCGAGTTAAAGGTCAAGCGTAGTTTCAAAAGAAAAAGGACCAGTATAATAAAAGTTGATGAATTCATGGGGTTTCCGGGGTCGGATAATCTGATTATGATGTTCTTTTATCAATTTTATTTCACCATCCTGTCCTAAGGCTACAATGAAGTCCATTTCCTGGTTGAAGAAGATGAGGGAAGATGCGCCAAATTCACACTTGAGTGGGTTTAAATCTTGGCCTGCGCCCTTATGTTTCATCAATATACAAACTTTCCTCTGTGAAATCCATAATAAATTCGTTTTCGAGGGTTGGCAAGGAAAATAGATAAACAGTAGAAACAGACAGACCATGAATAAAGAAATAAACAGCTTGTTCGATTTGTTTTGAAGCATTATCTTTAAAAACCGGGACTGCTTTATCTTTATTGTCCTTAAAAAATAACTTCTATTATCACTCTGAGATGGAATAAAATATCAACACGAATTTCATTATGCAACGTCTAGACATAAG